TTATGGATTATTATTACTGCAGCCTCATTATGGGACACTCAGCCTTGTATATGTCCTATAATCATTTCTCTTTTGAGGCAGCTTCTGAGAGATTTCCCTAGTATTTCAAGTATTTGTCCATGTCAATAAAAGTTATATTTTGCAATATTAGGGGGGTGGGAATTTGGAGGGTTGGGGCTGTTGGAAAAAATTCAACCCGAAACTATTAACTTTGAAAATCTTTGAATTTTGGCTTCATGTGGAAGTTTAGGCCATTCTGAGTTGTCCTATTGCCTTCTTCTTTTTTCAAGATTATTTTTCTGCACTGGTAATAGGCTGGTGGTATTTTACATGGGAGAATTACTTGCCAGGCACTTATACAACACAGTTCAAATGTAAAAAGCAGAATACATTTCAGTTTGCCAGGAGTACAGAGTCTTCTGTGAGTATCTACTAAAATAAAATTAGCTAAATTTACTAAACTAAATGCCAGATCTTTGATTAGGAACCGCTTTCTGATAATGGTTTAGCGCTTAGTAAACTCCCAACCAACCAGTTTTTTTTCCTCTTTGAGTTCTTTAATTGTTCCTATTGAACAGTAAATTGGGATACAAGGAAGGAAAGGGACTTTGTAAAGACAGAAGAAATATTTAGTTATTAAAAATAGTTCTCTAGAGCAACTCAAAGGACTGTATAATAAACAGGTAAAATACATGCTGTTGCCTATATAACTGCCTTTTGGACAAAAATCCTGCATATAGATCACAATATATGTATATAAACACGTTAGTTTCCTTGCTCTAACATTGGCTGAGGCATGCTTTTTTAAACATTTCATTATTGATTCCTTGTGTCTAATTTTTAAGCTTGTTGATGAATGGTTTGATTAAATAAAAAGCTAGAAATACGTATATATAGCACATGACAGAATATGCTAAATAATCACTTTGTACTTGCTAAGTAGCAGAAATTAACAGTAAAAATTTCATTAGCAGATTATGTTAAGTGCTAAGATTAAAAAGTAAACTTGAAATGTCTTGAAAACCAAAGGCAACCAAGGAAGCACCAGGCACACCTCTCTTAGGGATGGTGGTGTAGGTAACCATTGAGAAGGCCCCCCTCTGCAAAGTTATCTGCCATTCTTCAGCATTCAGGGTCACCTGGAGAAGGATGATCGTAAAACTTGGGTGACAATAACAGAGAAGCAGTGTTCCTTCAGATAACAGAGCTCCAAGCTGACTATCAGAAAAGCCACATGTTACATGTGTTACTATTTTGTTGACAAGATTTCTCTGCCACCGTGTCATACAGAACAAGCACATTTCAAATGAAGTAAAGGAATTCCGTAAGGAGAGGTCAGCAGACCTTACCAGTCATTCCATTAATTCTTAAATCCCAAAAGCTGTGTTCCTTAAATAATGATTACATTTTCCCTCAGAAGTGCACACTCTCCTTCCAGTAAACAGATGGTTCTTCAAGGCTACCCCAGGGTGCTTAATTACTCAGTGCTCTGTATTTACAGTCATTCTGTTTATGTTACCCTTTTTTTTTTCATCCTATGAAATCTTGCAAAGTTCAGAGTTCTATACAATACCCTTTTCCGCCCAAGCTGGTAAACAACTATTTAATGGGTTAAACATTCTCAAAGTATCCAAGGCCGGTTACTCTATAAAGATCTTGCTCACTGTAATAATTTACAAGCCCATGACAAGATTCTTCCTACTTAATTTTTTGATAGAACAGCAGCAACAGCTGATTCCACATCATTATTTGAGAATGAAAGTAATGAATGCCAGCCTGTAGTATTCCTTGGTCATTCATCTTCCCATAAAACTAGACTGTGGCAAGCAAAGTATCTGTAACCAAAAAAGTACTAGAGAAAAAAAAAGATGGTTTCTTCTGTAAATCAGACTGCATGCAAAAGTATTTCTATTGTTACCACATCTTCCTTCCCAGTTCCAGGTATCTTTTTTATGCCAGGGCTTATTTTCTTTGTCAAAAGTTAAGATTTGGTCTTGACTTGATCAACCGGTAACAAAACCAAAACATATTATTTTCCAAAAAATGTTAACAATACAATACCAATACTTGTTTTAGTGAATAAGAAAACATGAGACGTAAATGGCCTGCCCCAATTCTCAGGTTATATCGGTCCTGAGATGTGACTTACTAAGATTCTACATCATCCCATTTTATCATCTGTTAAAAATCCATGTAAAAAAACTTGCTGGTGGTAGTAGTTCTCCATTATGTTTCTGTATTACTAATTGACAGATATACAAAGCTAGCTAATCAATGCCACACCTATGCTTTACTTTTCACAATTTTATTCCAGTCCTCATAGCCATAGTTTCTCTGAACACCAGGGAAAATGATTTTGTGAAGTTCTCCATCAATTTTTCCCCAAGTAATATCTAAGTGTGTCTGATAACTCTCCCGTGCAAAAGTAGAATAATATCTTCTCTGAGATGATTGGAATTGATAACCAACAGCTGCATGTCCAGGAGAAGGCGGCTGTTCCAGTATCAACATATCTGTTCCACTGGAGAAGCAACTGTTATTCTCACTGAAGAAAACAGCATATTTCAGGAGATCAGCTTCCTGACAGTATCTAAGTTAGGTGTGAAGATAATTGCTTAAAAAATTACCCAAATATTGGTTAGGAATATAGTGATAACAACTAGCTTAATGACAGCCATGCCTGTCTATATACTCAGGGACTCAAGGATACTGTAAGAAAAGAAGGTGCAGGAAAAAGGAAGGAAGGAAGGTTGGTTTCTGTCTGCCATCACTAGGCCTCCAGCTGTCAAAACTAGAGCCCATATTCACTTACTGATAAGTCACTTTCTAGTGGTGAATGTACTTCTCAGGGTAGTGACAAGTCTCATGCTTGAAGGAAGTGATGGAGTTTCTGAAAAACTAAAATAGAGATGTCAGGCTAAAACTCAAGGAAATTCTGGCAACAGACTCTGAAGTCTTCAAAAGCAAGGCCTGTTGAAGCCACCTCTTCAATCCTAATAATCTCCTCAGGAATGGAAGGACATATTTTTGTACAATAATATATGGAGTCCAACAATATGAAAATTAAATATTTCCATCTTTCTTTTTTACTGTTTTCTTCCCATGGCTCTAGCAGATTAACTTGTGGCAGAATGAAAAAAAAATCACCTGTTGTAAGATCACTTTAATAGATTCTGTTGATCCTCATATTCTTGGTCAATTATATAACTTTTATTATATAGCTTTTATATGCATCTTAAATGGGTATGTTATCACTTGGTACTTTTTAAAATAATGAACTAAAGATTCAGTCCAAAGAGGTCAGTGACAGATTTTCATAAAAGCAGGCCAGTCAGTTGGACTTCATACCCAGAAAGAAAAAGAAAAAAATCTGAAGGAAGTAGAGTTTTAAATATCAACTACGGTAACATAAGCAGAGCACTAGGTGTGTGCAGAGCTCACCCATTCAAAATGAAAGATTACCTGTTTTTCCTAAATACAGGTAGTCCTCTTTTAGCTTCCACAGTTGGGGCCAGCAACTCAGTCATTAAGCAAAGCAGTGATTAAGTGAAACCATGACTGTGGTTATGATCTTACTTCAGCTTTCCCTTGCTTTACCAACCTACAAAGGTCGTAAATGTGAGGATTGGTCGCAAAGTTATTTTTCCATCACTGTTGTAACAGTGAATGATTGCTCTACAAGGCAGTCACCAACCGAGGACTACCTGTAGTAATTTTTAAAAAGCTGCAACTTTTAAATCTCAGATGTTTACATTTGGGATTCAGAAAGTTCAAGTTGCTAAAGACAGTTTCACAATAGACCCATCAATTAGAAATATTTCTTAATGTGCCTGTAGTTTCCTAATATTAACTTTTGTGGCAAACTCAGAAATTGGGTATTTTTACATCCAAACCTTGGGGAATACTCATACAGTTTTCCCCTTCCATCCCCATAACACTACTGTAAAATTTGCTTTATTATAATGCCAAAGGTATCAAAATTCTACACAATCTCATGGAAAGAAACAAACTGTTATATGTCACTGAAGTAATAAAATGTATGAAACATGAGTATAAAACCAGAATTAGATAATTTGGCCAGCAGTTTATAGTTAAGGGATTCACAATAATGCAATATTGTATTGTAGCTGAAAACCATATGCCCACTTCTAATTAGAGGAACAGAAGAGATGACTCTGAAAAAAAATGTAATGTTTACCTATTGTCTTTCAGATTGCTTATTTACAACATGTGACAACTGTTTCTGCTGAGCAGTTTTCTCATTTTCTTTTAACAGGCATTTATGAATACCAACAAGGACACACATTGGAAAATAATGTTTGTTGAATTTATTTTTTAAAAAGATCTAAGTTACACACGTTGATCATACCCACTTAATGTAACTGTTTTAATGGCATGAAATAATGTGAAGTTAGTAGCAAGAAAAGTGGAAAATTGCATAGTTCTGGCTTTGTTGTTGTTGTTGTTTTTTTAAAGCCAATGACTGGAGACTAATAATTAGAGGAAAAAATTGCAGGATCAGCATGAACAATAGTTAAAAAAGAAACCTTGTAAAGGAAAGTAATGTACTGAATATTCTTCCCAATATTTGTAAAGCATTATGAATGCATATAAACTAAACAAATAATATATCTACTTTTTTTGGAAAATAAAACAGCATTTTGAGGTATGGAATAATATCCTTCTAATATTCCACTATCCTGTTTTCCCCCCAATCCGATTAGTTGCTATTTTATCTTTCTTGTTTCTTTTTTTTCCAGTTGTTTTTATTTTCTAAATGGAAAGTATTATGGTCAATTCCAGCTAATTGGTTAATATGAACAATTACTGGTCAATGATACTGCTTTTGATTTCATCAAATGTCCTCACATGGTCATGAGATATCATTTTAAATAAACAAATATACAACAAATAGGTAAACATTTTATAGACTTTCCTGCAAAGTAATAGAAATTAAAAATATATTATTCAATGCTGCAGATTTTTTTTTTAAAGCATTGGTAAATAAGTCATATCAGTTCTGCAGGTCAATAGCAATAACAATTATGCCAGAAGAATGTCCTTAGGATGGGAATTCCACAAGCGAAGACAATGCCACTAAAGTGGGTTGGTCAATCCAGCATCTGCAATTTCAAACATATACAGTATGAGGTCCATAATGGAAAAACTTATTTGATAGGCAAAATTGGATCTTTCAGAAAGCTGCACAGTACTTAACTCATTCTAAAAACTGCCTATTTGTACTGAGAAACTGAATTAATATCACTGAATATTTGAAGCCATCACATGTTGCCTTCTTAGGATAAAAATTATGGGACCTCAACAGCTTGTATATTCCATTTTTCACACACACACACACACACACACACACACACATATATATGCCATTTTTTCTATACTCAGGCAAAAGTGACAACTGAGGGCAAGTCCAACCTAATACATTAGAGAAACATTTGTCACTGTTTGTGAACACTCAAAGCTATTCTCTAAATATACTTCTAACATGATTTATAAGCTTTCAGATTTTGTGAATACAATAGAATCATATATAAGACAGATGTGACTTCCTAGTGCCTTACGGTGGAAATCAGATAACCTGAATGGTTAGCCAACAGGTGAAACCAGATCCCTACAGGTTGCCTTTTCTTAAGTGCTGTTTCTCCTCAGTGTTTCTACTTCCATATTGCTACTTGCTTTTTTTTTTTTTTTCCCCTTTCAGTTCTGACATGGGAATATTGATCCCATGTTAGACTGACTACAGATTTACCAAGACATTGATTCTGCCATTGATACAGTGAAAGGCTATTAAAGACTTTCATGGATTCCCACCTCAACAAATCTAGTGAATATAAACAATTTGGTTTACTGGGCCACAGATTCCTGAGTGATTCTCTCCCTGTTGCTATCCAGGATCACTTCAGCTCGGGGTAAATGTTTTATTACAAAGGCACTTTAAGTAATTCACATGTATGGCGGGGGGAGGGGCATTTCATAGGTTTGGTAGTGAATGCAACTTACATGTGTGTGGAGTATACTCAATAACAATACCCATCAACTTTCCAAAGCGTTGGGAACTGGACTCCTAGAATTACCAACCAGCACATTCATGAAAAAAGTCTAAATAAGTACGTATTAAGAGACTTAAAACTTAGTAGATCCTTTTCTATCTTTATGCAGTAGGCCTAGGCTCCTGTTCCTTCTTTGCCTGCCACTGGTGTTGAAATCTCATGTCCAAAAAATTTTTGCCCATGGTGGACATAACTGATTGGTGTGATATCCTTGTTGTGATTACAGTGTTTGTCAACCATTGACAGATAAGCCTAACCACAATCCATTTTAGCGGGGGGAAAAAGTGCTAGACAGCTAATATAAGTGATGTAACTGATTGGTGCACAAAACTCATTGGCAGGGAAAAACTTTTTTGAAGGCAAAAAAGGAACAAGAGCCTAGGGCCGTGTACACTTTGAAAAGAATTTGGAAGAAGTGTTTCAAATAAGGGCCCAGCACAGTACCTTTCTAAACTAGACTATATTTTTTTGCATGAGATGAAAAATAAGTCGTGCCTTATTTTAAAAGTCCCTTAAGTGACTGCTTCTTTTCACATTCATGGAGAAACCTGAGAAAAGATGGAACGCTTGAATGGATAACTAAGAGGTGTGGGAGCCAAAGTACTTTTGAATCGTATACAGAGCATGCATAGCCTTATTATTTAGCCCCAAAACATCTTTAGAAAAACCAAAAGTAAAAGCATCCCAAAACTAATCAGTTAAAATAATGCACAAGTTCCTTAAGGCTATATTTTAATTTCTTTTTAGAAAATGTTTTTCAAGAATCCGACTAAAGATAATATAGAAGGGCCTCTGAATAGCTTTTTTTTACTTCTTAGAATCATCAAAATTATAAGGGTTCATAAGGACAGTTATTTCTCATTTATATAGAAAATAGGAATCAGTGAAGTCAGTCTGGCCTGCTTCAAGTCCTGTTCTTTATTTGATAGAAAATTTTCTGCTCCTAATGGATACATTTATTCAAGGAAAAGTGAATTATATTATTATGATTTTTCATGGTCTAAACACACTTTTTGACAGTGTTAGACATACTGACTCAGCCAAAACATCTGTTTTATTTGATCACATTTTTTAAAATTTACGGTGCTTATTTGAAACCTGCATTTTCCCACTAACATTACCATCTATATTACATGATGAATAAATTGCTTCAAAAGAAACTAATTCCCCACAGTATAACTGCAAAGCAAACTGGTTTGTTGAGGCAGGCTCCCTCCTTGTTATTGTTCAGGAGGGGACTAAAAACATATTTATTTATCCAGGCCTTCCAAGATTTAATGTTACTGTATTGGTGTGTTTTTATCTGTCATGCTCTTAATGTTAAATGCTTTCATATCTTTATAAAATGCTCAGATCTTTCAAGGGCATTGGTGATATATATACACTTGCATTACCTCTTTTCATGATTACTGAGCATTTACAACAGAAAGAGTTATAAAGCAGAAAACACACGTACATATTATTTTGTTGTTCACAGTATCCTGTTATTATGACATGATGAAAATCTCATTGCCCTGCACTGAAAAAGAATCATTTTTCAGAGCAGAATCCACACAAGGAATATCCCTAATCCTTGTGAAAGGAATTGTGGGAGCACCACAAATACATTGGAGTCCTGGGCAGTTTTCCATTTGAACCAACAAAACTGCATCAAGATGAATGAATAACCAGAACTTTTGGACCCCAAGTCCATAAATCCATTCTGTAAGAACAACAGACCATTCCAGATGTGGTGCAGTGCAATTCCCCACATTGCAATCCTATATAATTCCCATAATTCAGTGGCTGTTCTAGACCTATATTTCCCATTTTTAACCTTATAAGTACACAACCAAACTGTAATTTAGAAGTGAACTGCCCCCTGCAATAATAATACTATATTTAACAGAAATACTTGCCATCTTTTATTTCTTTTGTTTTGGTTCTTAATTAAAGAAGTCTCTTACATTTTAAACAAGTTCATCTTACAAAATTTAAACAAAGTAAATTAACTTAAATTAGCAACCATGTTAATTTAGGGACTGCCATTTAAAGCTTCTTCATTGTAGAGGACTTTAAGTGTTCCCTTTCAATAAGAACTGGATTTTCTTTTTCAGTTTTCAAATATAAACATTGATAAAGCATTTCAACCCAATGCTCATACAGTGTATTCTCTATGGGCAATACAACATATCATTAACTCATAGTAAATATAACCAATTTTAAATTTGTGCATGTTAAAAGTTTCTTTTGAAAAAGGTAAAGGTTACTTCATTACACTGTTTCCCTGAAGTAAATTTATGATAATCAGGGGGAGTTCAAGGCTGAAAATGGAATAAAGCATTGTGACATTAATCCTTGTTTACCAGGAGGATTTCCTGTGTTTTTTCTAAACATTTAATGTATGCTATGTGGGTTACAGTAGACTCTCACTTTGGTATAGTTCTAAGTTTAAATCTGAACCAGGAAGCCTAGATTATACTAGTAAATGTGCATAAATGTGCATAACTCAGACTAGTACGTTAAATGCAACCATTCCAAAAATATCTTTGAAAAAGATGCAATTGTCAGTTAAAGATGGGAGTCTGGGTTTTCCAAATCTTGAATTATGCTATTATGCAGACCTTTTAACAAGTACCACATTTAGGGACCTCTGGGGAATAAATGGCAAACTGAAGACCGGCTCTTTGTAATTCCTCTCCGGACAAGGAGAGAACTTGAGATCACCTACAAGTGCTCCAGACAGTTGCTCCTCGCAAGCAGACCACAAGACAGCAGTCTCCAGCAGATCTAGAGCTCTGGGAGACAAGGGAATAGCCATCTTGCTCAAACCACGGTTGATGCCTTTAAAAGGACACTGGGTTCGCATACTTCCTTTTCTAATCACTTTTGGAAATTGCTTGTTAACTGCTTTTCAGCTACTAGGAGACTTTGGATCGACAGGTTTTACAGCACAGGGTGTTTCTTCAATCCTTAGCAAAAGAAGTTTTAAATCCAAGTTTAAGGACTTATTGTACTTTTTTTTTTCTGGAATAAACAGCAAAAGGGTGATTAAACCTTTGATTTTAGAAAGTTACAAATGGACTAAGGATCCACATAAATTTGAAATAAGATTTTGAAATTAATTATAAAGAATCCTTCCCATGGGAAAATGCTTTTGTTTTGATTTCTTTAAAAAAAGCATAAATAAGACTTAAAAATTGGATGCCAGAGGGAACTAGAAGGAACTAAAGATTACAATTGAAGGAGAAGAACACTCAAGCTCAATTTACTAATATAGTATGAAGGAAAATATTTTAACATTAGACATATTGAAGGATATTTTTGAACAATGGACCCAGAAGTTAATTTTAAGAGTGTCTGCCTCTATAGATAAACTGTGTTTAAAAAAAGCTGTGGAAGAGGAACAAGTATTACCCGACATGATTGTGACTGATTTGAAAGTGGATTTAAAAATGACAGACTACAAGTATGACATGGAAAAAGATGTTACACTGGACATACAAAAGAAACTAGTTGATGTCTTAATTAAAAGGGAATGCAAATAACAAACCAAGAGTGTGACTTGGATTCTATATTGGATTTACAAAAGAGGCTTGTTAAAGTTTTGAAGAATTTTGTGAGAAGACAAAGAAAAAATGAAAAGAAATCAAGTTCTAGGACATTATTTGAAGGCACTAAATATCAAGATTGTTAGAAGTAAAAGGAAGGAATATAAAGTTGGTTTATTTGAACAAGGTTAAAATAGATATATTGTTATCTCTGGTAACCCTTAATGGATTTCTACTGACATCAGGACTGAAATGACGATACTTGATTGATTTGTTTATAGATAAGAGATGGGATATGGGAAGAAGAGATTATTTGTTGTATTTTAAGAGAAGGTGATAAGTCACT